TAAATTAAATTAAATTAAATTAAATTAAATTAAATTAAATTAAATTAGTATTGAATTGGTATTTTTAAAAGTTTTAACGGACACAGGATTTAATAATGGTTTGACAAGTAAAGAGAGTCTGGCTAAATCTATCGAGTTCAGTTTCATTCAATCCTCCTCATCCTCCATTCCCAAATCCATTTGTGAATTGTTCTTACATACCATTCACTTACAGTCACTAGGATTTGTGCTGTACTTAACAGACCTTAAACTCTTGGTTACTGCTTTCTGGACCATTCTGCATCTTTTTCTAAAATCTGCTCTACTTAAGATTGAACTATATAGAACTCTTTTATTCAGTCCTCTGTGAATGGAGGTTAAAATTTCTGTCTATGACTTATTATAATAAGTTAAACTGATGGATTATATTCAGAGCCAGTTGCTTTTATTAATGTAATCTCTTTATAACATTTTATGTGTCTATGCTAAAATCTTTCATATATCTGTCTGGACCAGTTTATCTCCCAATGTAGCTGGTAAAATTATGCCCAAGATTAATGGAGATATACATTCAAGTTTATTTAGCTTTTTCTTTTGCTTTAGTGATTTGCAACAAATTGTCCAAGCTCAAGAAAGCTGAATTATATAATGTCAATTAAAGATTATATAACTATACTTGATTTATGCTCCTATAGGAAACATAGCACCCTTAACCATTTCATATGAAAGTACAAGTAACTTTTCAACTGAGTTATGTGAGCTGTGTGTGTGTGTGTGTGTGTGTGTGTGTATGTATATGTATGTATGTATGTATGTGTGTATATATATATATATATATATATATATATATATATATATATATATATATATATGGCATTCAACTTTGTTCGGGTATTTTCTCATGTCATTATAGTTGTGCTTTTAAACTTGTAGCAACGTTTCTGCAGAATCTCATCTGCCATCATCAGACTTCTGTATTGTGTTCGTCTGTGAGTCAGACTTTTACAGTTGTTTCAGTTTTAAATTTGGGGCTAGCCTACTGCTGTGCCAGAATGGTTTTTTCTTCATCCTGATTGGTTGGGAGTCTTGGTCTGTGTTTATTGGTCTTGGAGCTGTGTTCTGCTTGATTGGTGTTTCTAATATCTTCTGTCTGTTTTGTAGCTTTTTTTGTCTTGGTTGGCTGGCAACATTGTGTTCCTGTATTGGAGGCTTTTAGTGCAGCTTGGCTCCAAGTAAATGGACAGCTATCATTTGTTAGGAGGCTAGGTTTCATCTGGGTGCCTGTTTGGGGTGTGTTTGAGCTGGAGGTATTAGGGGGGATCTGTTTGTGCCCAGGTGTTTGCCTGGCTTGTGGTGTGGAGATTTTTTTGTTTGTGCGTGCAGGCTTCCAAATAATTGACAGTCTGGTCTTGGTCTGTGTTTATTGGTCTTGGAGTTTGCTCTTGGAGTTTGCTTGGATCAATGGCACCCAAACCCTGGTGACTATAGAAAACCCCAGCCACAGAATTATCAGAGAAGCCATAGAGATTGAAAAAAAGACCTGAAAGCATGAGTAGAAGAGATGACTCCACCAGACTGTCAATCTCCTCCCACACCTGGACTAAATCATCCCCCACCTCCTGGACAGTCTGTGGTGCAACATTCGACTCACAGATGAACACAATACAGAAGCCTGATGATGGCAGATGAGATTCTGCCGAAACATTGCTACAACTTTAAAAGCACAACTACAGTGATGTGGGAAAATACCCGAACAAAGGTGAATAATATATATATATATATATATATATATATATATATATATATATATATATATACACACACACACACACACACACACACACACACACACACACACACTACTTGAGGGCAATTGCTCTTTCATATATTTGCCAGGCAACTATGTCGGCTCCAGATGTCAATTAGCTTTTCCCAAGAAACTCAATACAAGTCATAAATTAGACACTTTTAGTAGTACGCAAAGTACTGAATATGCTAGTGTTCTTTAAACTTTGCCTGAGTGTTGAGACAGAGCAGCATTGAAGAAAGAAATCTTATCACCAGCCTTCAGCTACACACTGTGTTTGAGACAAGGGAAACAAAAGCAGGTGTGAAGCTGAATGTTTTCTAAAGCAAGGTTCTACTTGTGTGTTGTTGTTGCTGAGGCCAGCCAACTGCCGCAGCTCATATTTATTTAAGCTTGGCAGAATGCCTGTTAAGGTTTAATACCTCATTACTTAAATTATCTAGAATGACACTTAAGAGGCATATTGGGATCCCAGTTGACCAGCCAAAGCCAACATAGATTCTGAAAGATCGGGGCATTTTTACACTGAAAAAGTTTTCAGGAATCAAGCCATGTTGTTTCTTACATGTTCTTTGTATTTTCAGTATTTTAAAACATAGGTGCAAATATTTAAAAATGGAATTGTAAATTTAAAGTAAGTGCTTTAAAGAAAGTGCTTATTTAGTTGCATATAATTTGCTCTAGATTTGCACAGAGCTTTCTTTTCCATATAGAACAGAATCATACACAGAATTGCTGCATTCAGTTTTGATTGCTCTTCTGGTACTTACATTTTAAAACACTGGTGCTATGAAGACTGTCCACTTGTTTTGGGGGAAGCGGGGTGAAAATCCTCATTAGAGTGACCAAGGTAGTTCTACGTAGATAATGCTCTATTTGTTTGCCCTTCCATGCAGAAGATTATGGGATAGTGCTAACAGCTTCCATGGATATTAGGTGAGAAAACTAGGCGGTAGATACAACATGAGAACTTTGACAGCTGACTGCTCATTCAAAAAGTAGGAGTGAGAGCTAGCTATATTTTACCTAAAAGGTGTACCGGCTGTCTTATTATTACTAAATTTGAGCTTTTTCTGGCAAACAATCATTATTAATTGAGCTACTTTAAAAGCCAGTCAGCACTGATACTGAGAGTTTTATTCCATCCTATCTGTATATGGAATTGTATATATATGAACGTGTAAACAAGCAAAATACACTACTAACATGGGCAGCATCCTGCCCACACGCTTTTATCTTTCTTGGTGACTTCAATCTACCTCATATTGACTGGACCCTAAATGAATGTACAACTGAACCCACACACGCAATTTTCTATAGTGCTGTTACAAATCTGGGACTGTAACAACTAGTAACCAACAACACTAGACTAAACAACTGCCTCGATCTCATCTTCTGCAATAGTTTGAATTTAATTTATGGAATACAAACTAAAGAACCCTTTTCCAGCAGTGACCACAATATGATTGACTTTTGTCTCAACATACGCCCACACAAAAATCATCACAATGACATAATCCCCAATTATAATTTCAAAAAAGGCAACTATGATCTTATAGACAATGATCTCTCATCCCTTGATTGGCAATCTCTATTCACTGGATAGCAATACTGTTGAAGACCATTACAACATATTTTTACTTGAAGTCAAAAGAGTCATCAAACTATATGCACCAACAACAACTCCCCCCCAAAAAACAAAAAACACCCAGATTACCCATAACAATAAGGAAACTTCAATCCAAAAAGAGATCACTCCGGCAGAAAAACAAATCTGGTCATGTTGCCAATTTCAAAAGCTGATACAAAAAATTATGCCACCAGATAAAGATTGAATGCACCAATTATCGCATTAAACAAGAGGAAAACCTTCTATGCACCAATTCCACCCGCGCTTTTTACAATTTTGTAAACAACAAACTAAAAGACTCAAGGTCCATCCCACCCCTGATAGGACCTAATGGTAAAGACTGCAACGATGACACCATTAAAGCCAACATCTTTAACACATTCTTCGGCTCAGTATTTGTAAACAGCAATAGATCATGCCCAGTATTTCCTAGCCGAACCACAGACAACTACAATGATCTAATACATATTGATTTTACAGAAGACAATGTTGAAAAGGCACTACACAATCTAAAACCATCTCTATCTATTGGACTGGATGGAATATGTGCCTACTTCTTTAAAAAGCTATCCACTGCCATAGCCAAACCTCTAAGCATAATCTTTGAAAAATCTTTCAGGACCAGCTCCTTGCCCTACCTATGGTCACAAGCCATGGTCATTCCCATCTTCAAAAAGGGAGACCCCAGCCTAGTTGAAAATTACAGACCAATCTCCTTACACTGCATCACCTGTAAAGTCATGGAATCAATTATTAACCAATCCATTATCCTCCACTTAGAGACAAACAACCTACTCTCCAATAAACAATTTGGTTTCAGGAAAAACTATCCTGTAATCTGCAACCCTTACACTGCAAAAATATATGGACTACACAACTCAATCAGGGCAAAGAAATAGACGCAATCTACATAAACTTCTGTAAAGCCTTTGATTCAGTGGTACACGACAAACTACTCCTAAACTAAAATCTTATGGTATCTCTGGACATCTGCATAATTGGATAGAAGCATTCCTATCAAACAGACAACAAATGGTCAAAATTGGGAGTGTCCTATCAAATTCTGTACCTGTCAACAGTGGTGTCCCCCAAGGCAGTGTTCTATGACCAACTCTCTTCATACTCTACATAAATGACCTCTGTGATCATATTAAGAGCAACTGCATTCTTTTCACTGATTATGTAAAGCTGTTCAATACCACAGACAATATTGCTACCTTTCAAAAAGATCTATGTATCAGAATGGTCAAACAATGGCAACTTCAAATCTCAACAAATAAATGTTGAGATTACATGTTGGCAAAAAAAATCAGAAAATAAAATACAAGCTGAATAGTCAGGATCTTGTTGATGATCCAAGCTCTGTAAAGGACCTTGGAATACTCATCTCTAATGATTTAAGTGCTAGAGCCCACTGTAACTACATAGCCAAAAAGGCATTAAGAGATGTTAACCTAATCCTACATAGCTTTTTCTCTGGTAATATCACACTACTTACTAGAGCATACAAAACATTTGCTAGACCAATACTCAAAGACAGCTCATCAGTCTGGAACCCACATTACGTATCTGATATTAGCACAGTTGAGAAAGTCTAGAAATATTTCACAAGAAGAGTTGTCCACTCCTCTACTTGTTGTAGAATACCTTATGCCACCAGACTTGAAATTCTAGACCTAGAAAACCTTGAATTATGCCGTCTTCGGTTTGATCTAAGTATGGTATATTAAATCATACATTGCAATGTCCTACCTGTCAATGAATACTTCAGCTTCAACCATAACAACACAAGAGCACACAATAGATACAAACTCAAGGTTAACTGCATCAAACTTGATTGCAGGAAATACAACTTCAGCAACAGAGTGGTCAATGTCTGGAATACTCTGCCTGACTCTGTAATTTCTTCCCCAAACCTCAAAAACTTTAACCTTAGACTATGTACTATTGACCTCATCCCTTTCCTAAGAGGTCTGTAAGGGACATGCATAAACGCACCAACGTGCCTACCATCTCTGTCCTATTGTTTCTTTTATTTTTCTTATATGTACCCATTTCATGTATTCATAACTATGTATATACTTATACCTATCTTGTAAGCAATTGACAAATCAAATAAATAAATAAAAATATTTAAATACAGTAATTCATTTTTTTTGTAAGAAAAATCACTGGCCTCCTACAGATTACTAACAATATTACTACAGCATCTCTGCTCATAAATTCCAACCACAAAACACAATATTGTTATGGAGTACTGGACAGAGAAGATTTTAATAATGGCATCACTATGATGTATTTTGTGAGGCATGTTATCTATCATTAAGGATGCTAATGCAAAATTTCTGTTTGAGTAGACAAGGGAAATTGATGCCCTCTAGATACAGCTAAATTGTAATTCCCACCATCTATGGATATTCACAGTCATCCAAAAGCTGCTTTTTCCAAAGGGCAACTAAACTTTCGTGTTTTTTTTAACATCAGAAGATCTATTCCCAAAGTAGGTATAAAAACAGTTAGATAAAATAGAGCAATGTAAAACCCCATAGTCTGATAGTTATTTTAGGTAATATTACCACCATGACCACTATCTTCTAGAAGTAATCAGCATTACAACATTATCTTATTAACAGAATAGAAATAACATATGAGCAGTGGTAGCCCAGTGGTTAGAATGTGGTATTGCAGGCAAATTCTGCCAACTGTCAGGAGCTTGATTCTGACTTGCTCAAAGTTGACTCAGCCTTCTATCCTTCTGGTAAAATGAGGACCCAGATTGGGGGAGGGCAATATGCTGACTCTGTAAACTGCTTAGAGAAAGCTGTAAAGCACTGTGAAGCAGTATATAAGTCTAAGTGCTATTGCTAGTTCAGCTTTCATAGGAGAATTGGGACAGAAGAATCAAGTAAAATATTATTGAGCGGGTGCCCAGATGTGTTTTGTAAATGATATATGCAATGCATATGCTGTTGCTTTTTAAAAAAAACACAAAGAGGTGCAATATCCATTTTTAAAAGGCATCATTTTTTCATTTCTTTAGAGGATAAGGTGAACATTTAAGGTTTTTTTATTTAGAATTGACCATTAACCAAGTAAACACAACATTTTCCGACCCTGCTTTTTAGATGTGTATGATTAAAAACATCATTTTACAAAGTTTTATAATTTGAGAAATATTTTCTCATATATTGTTCTTTTAATTTGTACATTATCACACTTGATCTCTTCATATTGTATCTTACCTTGTTGAGTGAGTTAGAAAGATGGAGAAGCCACCAAAAACACACTGCAGGAAAGCAATTTTTTAAAAAAAAATGTTTAAAACTCCCAAATTGGAGTCTGTAGAAAACCAAAAATTTGATGTGTTGATTGTTTTTGTTGCAGTCTATATGCGGGCTATTTTTATGCATACTTATAAAGTTTGTAGTATGAATAGAAAATATATGAGAAATGTCTGAATTGTTTTCTTATAAACAGACAGAAATGAGTTGTGCCTTTTAGGTGTACCTTAACATCTGATTTTTAAGATGTTCACCTGAAATCTTTTGACAAGTATCTCTAACTAAAAGTAAGAAGGTAGATCTTTTTGACAAAAGCATACTGTAAAAAAGTTTGTTTTAATTGATGCATTTTTTCATTATTTCAGTTAATATCACACATTCAAGTGATTCAAATAGCTAACAATTTATAAACAAATTAAAAAAAACAAAAATTGAACAGTCTTGTAAAAATAAAGTCACTTTAGTTCTGCCAGCCTTGTAAATAATTCAAGTACCAAAATCTGTTCTGCTTTAAAATCAATGTTTGAATTATTAATATTTTTACTGCTTTGTATTTTATCTAAGCATTACATTTGGGTTGTATGCTCCCCTGGGAACCTATGCTACCTAGAGTAAATAAATACATTAAAACAAATGTGAGATTTTTCAAAGTATTCTGACTTGTGCACACTTTTATCCTGTTTTCATGGATATGATACAATTATAAGGGAAAATAAGAAACTTCTAGTTAGGATTGAATGGGGTTACTGGAATTTTCTTGTTCATGACAGAAACCCTCATAAATGCTTCTAATTTAATCAAGACAGTGACTAAAATGCTTTAAAATACACATATAATTTCTTATGTTCATTTGATACATATGGTAAAAACATTGCAACTGTTAATTTATTAAATAGCATTCATTTATTATATATGTGCACTTATTTAGCTTACTTTCATAATTGTAGTCTCCTTGCAAATCTTTTCCATTCTGAATTCAGATGATGCCTCAGCTCCTGCGCTGGAGCCTCAGCCCCAAGGAGATGAAGAAGGTGAGAATTTATATAAATGGGAAGGGAAAGCCATGGCAATCTTAGCTGAGTTCTGCTACAAACTGTCTATATGATATAAGATAAATATGTCTATTTTTATTTTTTATTCTCTTCTGTGAGATACAAAGTCATTTCCTATTTCTGATGAAGTAGGTTCTATTTAATAATCTAGATAAATTTTCCTCCAGTTGTGTTAGACTGTAACCGTGATAATGTCCAAACATAACTTAATTAGACACAAATATTTTTTTATTGTTTTTGAACCTGGATCTCTAAAAGGATTTATAGAGGATTTTAATTATAGTAAGTCATTAGACTAAGAGATATGAGATGCCTTAGCAGCCCCATTTTCAAGGAGAAAGCACAGTTCGCAAAATTATGGATAAATGATAGATTGACAGATGCTGTACATAAATATATGTCTAAATTGTCACTTTTGCAACTAAATCTACATTCCTAATAATCTATCTTGTGTTTAACACTATGGGACTTCATTTTGAGTGAAATAAATGTAATAACTTTTTTAATTGTTATCTTTCAAAAGTGGCAGCTTTACTAGCATTTTTTTCCAAAATTATCCCATTGTTCATGATTCACCCTGGTTATTCAGACAATCAATGTTGTTTCTGGGTTTATGCCAGGAATGTTGGATTTCAGGATCATAATTTTGCTATTAGTGTAAAATAAAGTTATTTAACATGAACATTTGTTACGTGCACTGTATTTATGCAGAAATATTGTCATGCAACATTTTCTAAATACCTTCATAAATAAGAAATTGTTCTGTCATATTTTTACATTTTTGATTCCCTTTAATTAATATACTGTGGTAGCAATTATTTTTACCATTGTAACAGTCTGATTTTGTTCTTTATTGTTATAGATATAGCTTCTCGCTACCCTACATTATGGACTGAGCAAGTAAAGAGCAGACAAAATAAGACCAATAAAAATTCTGGTAAGCATCTTAATTAGCAACATCTCAGCATCAGCAAACTTTCATATTTTCTAGTTGTCCTGATTGCTGTGTGGTTAAGAAGGCAGAATAAACAGACTATATAGTAAACCAAACAAATAAATGATCTTAATATCATTTTGGATATACAAAAAAGGCTTTTCCAAGTTTTTTATTTTTATTTATTTATTTGATTTGTCAATCGCTTACAAGATAATAAGTATAAGGATAAGCATAGTTTTGAATATATGAAATGAGTACATATAAGAAAAATAAAAGAAACGATAGGATAGGGAGAGTAGGCACATTGGTATGCTTATGCACGCCCCCTACAGAACTCTTAGGAAAGGGGTGAGGTCAATAGTAGAAAGTCTAAGGTTAACATTTTGGGGGTTTGGGGAAGAAACCACAGAGCCAGGTAGAGTATTCCAGACATTGACTGCTCTGTTGCTGAAATCGTATTTCCTGCAATCAAGTTTGGTGCTGTTAACCTTGAGTTTGTATCTATTGTGTGCTCTTGTATTGTTATGGTTGAAGCTGAGCATCTACTGTGCTGGTTACAAAAATTTAGATAGAGCCACTAAGCAACGCAGAAAACAAACAGGCCCTTTGATCTTGACTAAAGGACCAGTGAAGAATCAGGGGGCAGCAGCAGGTAATATCTGGAGTGAAGGTTCTAAATAGTAAAAATTATGGGGGTTTAACATTAGTTGAAGCTCCAAGGAATTTGGCAACTACACATCTTCACCAAATTGTTTCCATCCACCTCAACGTTGTCATGCAATTTGAGGTAGATGAGTCATTTTCTTTTCGCTTTTTACTCAAGAATTGTAGTGCAGCACTCTCTCATCAGCCCAATCAAAAAATGTAAAGATACATACAATCTAAGTATTCTGAGTATAAAACTAAATTTCCATAGGCTTTCTTTAAAAAAATTACACATATTAACTATAGAGGTTAATCATAGAAGTTTTTCTATATTTCTTGTTTTCTCCCATTACAATGTAAAAGACTGAAAAAAAGAAAAAAAAACTTTGTTGATACAAATAAATTGGTGTATTGGAAATTTGTTGCTCCTCCATCTTTTAGAGAAGACAAGATTTTACATTTCTGAGATAATAAAATAAAACCAAGTCATAAAAAGAGCCTAGAGATAATTCATTGTAAATAGTATTTATTTCATCTTTATTACTCCAGAGACTATTTATGGCTAAAGCAAAAGAAGTGTTATGCTTGGAACCAATTTAAATCTCATATGTAAAAACACAGGAGGCCACAAGTCAAACAAAATAATAACCAATCCATCTACATAGATATCGTAAAAATCTGCTTGACAATTCAGCCCTATAAGCTGTTCATAAGTACCAAGACAGGCCCTATCATTACCCAAAATGAGGCAGCTGGCTAAGACGGTAGATTCTAGATACCATAAAAGGATAGGAAACCATCATTAAATTGTATTTTTAGTATCAGGAAATGTAATTGTTTTCTCTGACATTAAGTCAAAACCATCTGGTTGGTTTGGAAATTATGAATTCAAAATATATTTGACTGGCATGATCTGAAGAGACCAATTTCTTGGGAAAAGTGAGAAAGTACTAATTCCTTGTATGGCCTTGATTTGGCTAAGCTTAGAGCTTATTTCCAGCTGGCATAACAATATTAGTCTATTTACACTAGTGTTTTTCCTATAACAAGAATTTTAAAATGCAGTTATGTAACAGGAAGGAGAATTTCAACTCAATGTCTACGGAGATTCTCAATCATCCAGACAACCTTTGGTTGCCAAAAGGTGCTTTTCAAAAGGCAACTGGATTTTCTTGTTTTTTTCCTTGAAGATATTTTGCTTCTCATCCCAAAAAGTTTCTTCAGTTCTCAGTTTTTCAAAGGAAAAAAAAACCAAGAAAGTCTAGTTGTTTTTTGAAAATGCCTATTCAGGAAAAACTGTTGTACCTACTTGAAGTTTAGGAATTAATTTTTTCAAACTCGGTAGGACTTCCCTCTAAGAAGATAAAGTATAATACTGAACTGTCCTGCAAAAAAAAAATTTCACTCGCTTTTTGTATGAATATATATAAAAAGAATAGCTGCTAGAATCTTGGACATGCAAGCAACTCTTGTTGAGATTTGCTTTACTCCTCTAGGTTCTAAAATGGCATATATAACATAAATATATTTGCTTTATGTCTTCTCTACTTGCTTGTCCTATGCAAATAGATAAGCCTTTCCAGACTTCCCTAATGTTGCTTACATTTCAGTTCACAAAAATATACACATTCAATATTTCTACTATCTTCAAAAGTCTCATTTTACGAGATTTTCTTTTAACTTTTAACTTTACCTATTAGCTCAAAATTCTTACAAAGTCTGCCTTCTGGCATGCCTAGATTGTGCTTCCCATCAGGAATAAAGACCCTCCCACCCTAAAACGTTTTAAAACTGTTCTGTTTAACATCCAAATGATACAATTTCTGTTCAGGATGTTCCAGGATTTTATGGAATCTCCACAGTTGACATGTCTGCCTGCTTTTTTTTTTTTTTTGCAAGACCAGTCTCTTTTTTGTAATAGCATACATTAATTTAATGTCAAAAGATAGTAATCTTCTCTAAACTATTTTTAATAACATTATATGATTTTTAGGCAGCTTCAGCCTAAAACAGCAGGGCCTTTTGATTTTCACATGTAAGATATGTTGGTTTTCACAATTTATTAGACCCACAGACTGAAAATCAGAAAAGCACCAGAGCTCTGTCAAACGCCAGGAAAGGCTTATATTTCAGCTGAAATACAGAGTGATATCTAATAGTGTCCATTTATCATTAAGGAAACAGTCTCCTACCATTTCATCTCAGAAATCTTCTCTAAAAGGATGGAAGCTTGAGCCAGCTAATTTTGGAGAAGGCGAGGGGGGCGGGGGGAGCTACTGCTGGGAAAGAATGGTTCATTTTGATAGTGGAAATCCGTGTTTACAAATCTGAACCCAGTCAATTCTTGTCAACTTTGAAATGTATAATCATATTCAAAGTTACAGGTGTAAGTATATCTAGCTCATGTTGATATACTTTAATCTGGAAGGGTATTTCTTCACCTTCATCCAGCTTTCTATTCTTAAATAAAATTGAAACATTTGATTTGGTAAAGCAGGCATGATGCTTTCTCTTTAGCTTGCAAAATTAAATAAGTAAATTACTAGCTATCGTCTCAGGAAAATCTGAACTAAATAATGCTTTGAAAAGTGAATGTTGAATAAGTTAGTTGCATAGACGAATTATAAAATACACAAACTTCTATGCATGCTATGCGGTAGGGAAAAAGCAAAGCTGAAGCAAGCAATTTCAATATTCATTTGTTGAATAAATCACCCTTGTTTGTTTGAAAGTTAACAGGGATGGATGATACCCATAAAAGTAATCCTACATCATTTTGTTTATAGCTTTAAAATAAATACTTAATAAAGCAGCCACCATGGAATCTTAAAGGGGACTGTGCAAAGTTTCTGAATTCTATTAATGCTTTTTCTTATACCAGTATTAGCTTTCTATTGAGAACTGCTTCCTGGAATATTTTGCAAAAGAATTATTTGATAGATAGTATTTATATACAGGCAGAAGGTGGAAACCATAGTAGGCCTGCTTACCCAAGAGTTGGCAATGATAATGCCATAGTAGCCATTTTACTTTCTCATGGCGTCAGTACTGAAAGGAAGGACTTGCCTTGCGATTGTACAGGACACATTATTTTTAATTGTACCACAATACTTTTGAAATGATTCTGTTTGTTTGCTTCAAATCTTACTTTAAAAAAAGCAAACATTTCCCAAAGAAGTTTAGCCAGTTTTCCTTCACAATAACTGTGAAGCAGAAGCAAGGATAAAAAGGTTTCTCATCAAATAGGATTTTTGACCGGATGCCCTTCAAATACAGTGGATTTTCATCCCTGTAAATATTCTTGGGTTTCAATTCCATTAGATGTAGGGATCAAAATCCAATGAATTAGAGGAGAGCTAGGTGATGCAAGTCATGTGACGACATGTAGTTAGTTTTATTGATGTTCTACAATGTTTCTGCCTATAAAAAAATAAAATAACCTTCAGGCTGTTTTACAGTTTCAGCATGATTTCAGCTTCACTACACTGACAGAATTGTTCTTGTCTTGTAAGCAAAGCAACACTCGTAAGTTCTTTGCAATTTTATTTGCTTGTTTGCTAGAAGCTAGAAAATGACATTAAAGGTATGGTTATTTTACCACCTGGCTATTACCTTTAGAGGACTTTCCTCAATTTATTTCAACTAAATGGGGAATCTGTTTCTCCCTTGTAGGACATATGCAGTTGAAAGTCGTGAAGCACTTCAGATGTACATTTTAAAGTGTGTGGAGTTTTTAAGAAGCCACTTTATAGCCCTGAAGGCAGATCCAACAGAATATTTTGCTAGCAAGGAAAGCATTTCTTTAATTGAGTTTATTCTACTGTTAAAATATATCACAGTATTTATGTTAGTAATTTTTGTCTTAATTCTCTGTATCAAAACAGAATTTTGAACTCTTAAAGCCATATGATTTTAGGTTTTCAGTAGGTAGGATAGGATATGGGGAAATACATATTAAGGATCAATTTTAGGCTAAATTTATGTCAACTGTAATAAAAAAAAAATTGCCTTATTAGGAGACTGAGGACCAGTCTCATTATTGCTTTGACACTGCTTTTTTGAAAAAAAATTAACCATTTAGAATTAGTTTCTATTTGAATTATCCAGCCAAAGGCATTTTGGACTTTATTCCCTTGTTACAAAAGAGTTCAGATTAAGTGTGCAAACATAGAGGCAAAACATCGTGAGGCCCAAAACACATCAGTATTTATAGCAAACAGGCTAAACAATATTACGGTAATGTGCCTCTCAGGAAAAAGGCTTGGGAAAAAAACAGCCATTTTCATGATTTAAGCCATGGCCTCCTTGAAAAACAGATCACTTACTGTTTATTTATCTGGAGTGTTTTCATTGAT